TTCAGTCAAATGTATAGTTAACGTCATATTTCAGATTCAGATTTACTAAAATTTTTTGCATTTAGGTTTATAATTTGACTTCCTGTTTGGACACAAGCAGTAGATATGACATAAAAATGAGTAGAGGTGATTTCATAAGTAGAGGTGATTCCATAACTGTTACCTAGCAACAGTGTTCAAATTACGTGAGAGCCAGTGGGAGATGAGCTCCTGTAGCGTGAACGATACACAGACTGGAAACTGCAAGGTTCTTCTCTGGGAAAAACTTTGAAGAAACTTATCATCACAAGCAGCACGGTTCTCCCGACGCCCGCGGAGTGTGAAAGGGGCTTTTCCGCTTATAATGATACAGACGATAAAACTAGAAACAGACTGCGTGCCCCGAGCTTCACCGCCTTGTTGTTCATCGACTTGAATGGACTCCTTATCAAGAAATTTAACCCAGTGCCATTTGTCAAATCACGGATTAAGAAAATGACACCAGACATCAGCATGCTGGATTCCTGGAAGGAGGCCTCAAGCAGCTGAAAGCAGAACAGTCTGGTCCATTTTGTCTCCCTATAATGATAAAAGAATGCCAGTGCAGGTTTGAAGACTCTGGTTCGATCTGTCTGTACATCATTTCAAACAGAATTAAATATTGAATGCATCGTTAAGTTGAAATGGAATCTGAGCTATACAAATGTAAAAACAATCACTTCAGCAGCAAATAGCAAGCTGTGTATGTGCGTGTGCGAAAGTTGTCGAGCACAAAAACATCTCCTCTTGAACCATGAGAGCACGTATGCTTTTATTTAGGCTACTTGCGCATTTTAGTGTTATTTATGTATTTATTTATTTTATATAGAGACCCCCTTAGGATCTGTAAGAGAATTTAAGTAATTTATCTTCCACGTACATCTCGGTTTAACATTGACTCACAAAATATTTACACCATGGTCGTCCCTTGGCATACCATTGGCACACCATTACCTAAATTGTGGCATATTTCTGTCTAACCGGTATCTACTGTCCTTCATAGTCTCACCACTTGCTTTATAAACCCCCTCCTCCTTTGGAAGCAGAGTCAAGGGCTTGAACACTCAAAGATCACATTATGCTCACTTTTGAAATCATTCTATGTTGACTTTTCACATCCCCCGGGCCCGTATTATTGATGGTAAATAAACTTCTCCTGCGTAAGACATCACCTTTTACTTTTACTTCCACCCTTTCTTGGACAAGCTGAAAACTTCGACAACAGGATCAAAATGATAATTCGAACCCTGCCTAGCAACCGTAAGGTTTACAAGAGGCAAAACTAATTTACACATTAATTATGATTAGAGTAATATAAATACAAATTAAAGACCTTTAGTTAAGTTTAAGTAGATGTTTAAATGTCAAAAAATGACTTCCTTGTTCATTTTAAATGGAACTTTTGATGAAATAGGTAAAGGGATTATGTTTTTAGAACTCAGTGCTATTTCCAGTAGTATTGTACCTTCCACAAATTACTTAAGGCCCTGTCCACACTAGTATGTATTTGAGTCGTTTTTGTTGTGGATGCAGTGTTCGTCCACACTAATCCGATTGAAAACGGCACCAGAGACGGAACGATCTGGTGCCGCCGTCTCCCACGAATTCATTTGAGTACAGATCTGATCCAGCACGGTGTGGATTCCTGAAAACGATGATACGCTGATGTAGTTCTATGCACCGCAAAGTCGCTAATTTAGCGCCAAAACGCTAAGAATGTCCATTCATATATACGGTCTATGCGTATGATCGTACGCATAGACCGTATAATCTCTGAAAAGTTTAATATGAACCATCTCCAATGCGATAGAAGCACAGAACAGACTCACCATCAGCAGAACACCCCTCTGTCACAGAAAGAACACTCATATTCCACTGAGTTGTGTCCTTTAGTCCGACAGAAGCTGAACCCCATCAGCGCACAATACTGAGCTGTTTTTAGTTTATGCAAATGAGCCATGTGGTTATAAGTTCTGATTCTTTAAAACGTAAACAAATATGCTCAAAGCTGTGTGGATAGGGAAGGCTTGCGGACACAGAAACGAGTCAGTCCTCACTCTGAGCCGCCATGCTCGCCTTTAAATCCAGTGTTACGCTAAGTAACAACTGAACCTCGTCGCCAGTCCACGAAAAGACTGTTTTTACACTTGCCATCTCCCTCGGCTCAAAATCAGCTGCTGCAACTTCAAACTTCCTTGTTTTTACTGCTCATGTGACGTCAGGACAGGGACGTGTGTGGACAGGGAATGCTTTAATTGCGGATACAGAAACGACGTGTCTGGATGCAAATCCTTTCCGGTACTGGTGATATGTGGATTCGTTTTAGAGTAAACGGGGTCTAAATGTGTTCTACCTGATTTTTACTGGCATAAAATGTGACAAAAATAGAACCAGTTTATTTGAAACAGTTTGTAGTGCGCCAAATTTATTCCTCACGTAACTTATGCATTCAGAGCATCCAAATTATTCACCAGGATGAGTTTATAAGCTCTTCTCACATCTTTCAGAGATATGAACAGCTCGCAAGCTAACTACATAATTCCTCATTCTCTGACAATACAATGCTATAACTAGATGCACATGAGATACCCCCTTTTCTCCCCTCGCTCTCTCCTCTAGTCCCCCCCCCCCATTTCAGTATCCCAGTTCATCTTGTGCAGAGGAGCATTGGACTGAAAAAGCCTCTGCCCCAGAATCACCGTTATTAACATTTATGAATATTGATGCAGCCTCCTCTTCCTCCTCCTCACATCAACCACACTGCTCTGAGTTCACTGCACTTTGGGATTACTGTAAATGTGAGGTAGTTGGGTTCATATGACGTCACTGCAGTCTAAACAGCCTCTAGTAAACCTGAGCTATAGGACAGGTCACAATTCTCAGATGGAATTTGCTGTTTGGCTGTCAGACTGCAGATTTGTTGACCTGGATTAAGGTTATTATCTTTGTAATTACTGTAAAACTTATTTTATTTTCAAGCGCTTCATAAAGTGGCGCCATTATTCAGCCCCAATGACGCGATTGTCGTTGGTTGAATGACTTTAAGACACAAGATTAATATGGCAAGTTTCTGGAGCCAATCTCTCACAATGTAATAATTTCCCACAGAGTTATATAGGCCCCTGTGCTCCCTCTGAAATATGACATCTTCAGCTTCTAGAATGTGAACGCAACCTATAACACAACTCAAACATACACCAAGAATTAAGAAAATGATACTTAAAACTAGTGCTGTCATGCGATTAAAAAAATTTAGAGATTCATTAATTATGATCTGTAATTAATTAATCTAATTAATCTCTTTTTAATCTCACCTAAAATTGCTGAGAAATGCCTTCAATTTGAGGTATTTTCATTTAAATTCATTATTACATTATTGTGGCAGATCAAAAGACTAATATAGAACAAAAAAAAGTGACTTTATAAAGTCATTTATTGTTTAACAAACTTTAACAGATGCAGTCACTTACATTCCACAGTATCATCATTATTGTTACTATTACTAATCTGCAGTGTTGGGAAGGTTACTTTTAAAATGTATTCCCTTACAGATTACAGATTACATATCCCAAAATGTAGTTTGTAACTTAATCCATTTAATTACTTAAAGTGAGTAACATAATTTGAATACTTTGGATTACTTGATATTGTCATGCTTTTTGAAACTACAGGAAAGTAGCAACCACATCCTGCAAATGTTGTTCTTGTTTGTTCTCTTCAAATTGGCTGTTGAGCCCAAGTCTCCATGAATAAGAAACTGTTTGCTGTAAAGTAGCAAAGACGAGGAAATCTGTACATCGCTCTTACTGCGCGTGTTTTGTGTGGGTTTCCGGCAATGAGTGGAATTACCAAAATAAAAAAATGTATAAATGTGTTTTTTTTTGTGTGTGTGTTGTTGTCCCAACAACACATAAAAACAGATTTTATAATAAAGCAACTTGCATACAGAAACAGTAAAGTTAGAGATTAAAAATGAGACGCGCTAAATATGACTGTAATTAATTAATCGCAATTAACACGATAATTTGACACCCCTACTTAAAACTGCTAAGGAAAAGTACTTATGATAAATATTAAGACCCAAGGAATACAGGAGGAAAACAACAACAACAAAAAACACATTCACCCTTTCACTCAATTGATCAAATCTGAACTGACCAGGAGGAACCACATTTCTAATTATGCATTGTGCAATTGTGTGTAGTTTTCTGACCTCTTTGAGCAGGAGGAATCACTTTTCCCATCATGCATTGTGTAAGTAAGTAAATAAGTTTTTATTTATATAGCGCTTTTCACAAACATATGTCACAAAGATGCTTTACAGATCATTATTCATTCACTCCACACCCGGTGATGGTAAACTACTATTGTAGCCACAGCTGCCCTGGGGCAAACTGACAGAAGCGCGGCTGACATGCCAATCAGCGCCATCGGTCCCTGTGATCACCACCATCACTCACACACACACCACTTTCATACTAGGCAATGTGGGTGAAGTGTCTTGCCTAAGGACACAACAACAGGTTTTGTTTCTGGCGCCCCCCTGTGGCACCTGAATTTCCCAGTGGTCTCCCATCCAAGTACTAACCAGACCCAGCCCTGCTGAGATCTGATGGGATCAGGCTTTTACAAGCTGGTATAGTGCTGTTGTGTGTAGTTCTCTGGCTTCTATGAGCAAGAGAAACCACATTTCCCATCATACCTCATGTTGTTGTGTGTATTTCTGACCTCTTTGAGCAGGTGGAACCACATTTCCCATCACACACTGTGCTGTTGGGTGTTGTTCTCTGACTTCTATAACCAGGATAAACCGCATTTCCCATCACAGACTGTCCTTCTGTGTAGTTCTCTGACCTCTTTGAGCAGGAAGAACCACATTTCCCATCATGCACTGTGTTGTATGTAGTTCTTTGACCTCTTTGAGTCTTAAGAACCATATTTCCCATCATGCATTGTGCTGTTGTTGTGTGTAGTTCTCTGACCTCTTTGAGCAGGAAGGAGGAGGCGGCGAAGGCGAAGGACCAGCCGTAGTGATAGTGGAAGAACTGTTCTGCTTCTCGAGGACGATTCATCACCTCATCGTTTATACTGGAGATGTAAAGCACCAGGCCCACCACCAGACTCAGACCTGAGAGAAACACGCAATATAAACATAGAGAAGATCTAAACTAACATTATTATTATTTAGTTTAAATCTTTATTTAAATCCCATTGACATTAAAAAACTTTGTCGTGGACCAAACAATCTTTCATGTCCTTTCTGTACCTGTCTCAAATAAATCACCATCCCTTTAGTAAAGGGGTGGGCAATTATTTTCATGGGGCCATGTGAGAAACAAAATTCTTAACTCAGTTCTGCATGATATTACTTGTATGCACATGTCTTGAATCACGTATTGCCTCATTTTGCATGTGAATAAAAAACAAAAACTCAACAACAACAAATAAAACCAATGCAGCTTTAGTCCTAGCCAGTTTCACTTTGTGGAAACAGTCTGACCTCGCAGCATTAGGATTTGTTTGCTTGATGGTAGGCGGGTACTTTTTTTATTTAAGCAATCGGTGCTATTTGGTCGTGACGTGTGTAATGCGCCAAATCCCGTAGGAAGAAGGGCAAAACGTCTTTCCCCTTGATAAAATTCACCAAATATTATCTTTGTTCCAGCTTTAAGTCCTCGATCTCAGGAATCGTCACCAACACAGAATGTCTGTCTTCGTCTACGTCCATCTCGACGCTTTGTTGCTGTTGTGCTGTACCACAAAAGGGAGCCAGACAGGCGCTTGAGATTGACGTCTACAACTTCCGGGGTTCCTGCAAACCATCTAGTGTATTCTGATTCCTGACCTAATCGCTGGAGAGAAATGAAATTGAGCTGAGGCACACGGTGGCGCCAGCGTGGCTACTTTAGTCCATGCATGAGGTAAAACTATAAAATATGTTTATTTTGTAATTCCAAATGATCTTAAAGGGACCAGTCAGAGTCAACCAAAGGGCAGTATGTGGCTCGGGAGCTGCACAATGCCCTGATCTGGTTTAGTATAATTACTGCAAAATGTATTGTAGTCAAAATGAAAGGACAATTAGAATAGTCTCACTTAACAAACAAGGACAAACAATAACTTTACAGGCACATTCCTTTGGGCTGAGTTATAATGCAGATATTTAAGATGACCTGTTTTAAAAATGAAGATTTAGATCACAGCAGATTTCAGACAACTAGAAGTAATTGGGAAAATGTGTGTAAAAATCTAAACTACAGGGATGGTTTATTACGCAAAACTGATTCTTGTGAGCTTTAAGAATATTGTTACCTCCTCAAAAACAAACCTGAAGTTGTTTTTATTTCATTCACACGTGTTTTCATAATGCTGGTTAATTAGTCTGTCTACATCCCCAAAGCTCAAAATGTTCTGTTCCAACTTGTGATGTCATGTAGTGGTAGTTTTCAAGTGAAGAGCTACGTTTTACCTTTTGTTCAGTAGAGATTGACAATTCGAAAACTGAAATCATCCAAATGACTCTAATGAAAGTGTACGGAGTTTAATGACATCACAAGGTGGAACATCACAACTGCAGGTATGTTTATAAGGAAAAAACTTCTATAACAGATCAGAAAATAACACAATATGGGCCCTTTAAGTTTTCCTTGATTGAAGGGGACACGACTAACTGATGCTGTTATTAAGAATTTGATTGAAACTGCTAAAATATGTCAATTCTAACCGGCATTTTTATAGCAAGCTCCAGCTGTTTTGAACCTCATCTGATGATTTACAATTCAATCAGTCCAAACTCACTGCTCTCACTGCTTTTATATCTTCATTTCAAACCCCTCCAGATGTTGAGTGAGTCTGAACATCGTGGGTTTTGAAGTGAAGGAGCAGATGGAGCAGGAGCCACCTCCGCGTCTCATCCATATTCAGGAAGTGCACCGTATTCTGCCATAAGACCTCAGCAAGCTGTTCAAACATACCGTCAAAATGTAGATTGTTATTTCAGATTTGATTTATTAAAGACTAACTTGGCAAGAGGCAGCTGTATGTGCTGATCCTGAAGTACGTCAAAAACAAAATTAGAAAAAAAAGTTACGGCATTCCCATAAAAGCTAGCAAGCAAATGTGTAATTTAGGATTACAAAACACTACACAGACGCTTTAATACATGTTTAGAACTCTATACACTTTCATTAGAACCATTTGGGTAGCTGTTAACTCGAAATCTACCACTACATGACATCACAAGGTGGACCAGAACTTTGGAGATGTAGACAGACTAATAAACCAGACTTAAAGGTGCATTGTGTAACTTTTCTGGTGGAGGACTCGGCAAAAGCTTTTCTGTGTGGAAATGTTGTATGATATTAAAGTTCTATCTTCATGGAGACCGAACCAGACTAAGTTACAGGTCAGATCTGTGGAAAGGCGACCTCGCTCACAGTCAAAGTCTGTTTTTCGAGGTATTTTTGAGCTATAAAACCACCTGTAATTGCATAAATGTAAAGTAGAGCTGTTTAATAGGGGTGTGCATTGCCAAGAGTCTGATCATGATTTGATATATCACAATATATATACACCGATACTAAAACACAGGATGATATATTGTGATTTATCAATAATTACCTCTCTTCAAACAGTCAACTGCACCTTCACGAGAACACAGTTGTATGAAATATAATTCATAATTAAAGCCGCGCGCAGCGATGGTGGCCCTCGCCCCGGCGCGCATCGCCCCCCCATGCGACCTCCGGGGACTCGCGCCCGCCCCGGCACGCCACCCTCTCTTCCCGACATTCGCCCAGGTCGACAGCTCGTCCATTAGACACGTTCCATAATGCACCTTTAAATATTTTTAGGAGTCATTGCGCCCCTGCTGGCCAACAGTGGAAAATGCACCATGTCTGTTATATATATTTTAGCTCATAGTCATGCATAGAACTTATTCCCTGAATTTGGTACAAATCCAATAATGTTGACATGTCATGTTTATGGTAGGGGGCGCTATGGAGTTCACTTTTCATATACTTTATAGTGTATTATATTCAGGCTCAGATCACGCATTATTGATTCAAATTTCAGCATGATCCGATTAAACATGGGCATGTAGTATTTTTTTTACTATTTCTGGGGGGAGTCTTTGCGCCCCTGCTGGCCAGTGGTGGAAAATGCATCATGTTCATAATAAACTTTTTTTGCTTGTCATCATGCACAGAATTTAATCCCCGAATTTGGTACAAATCTGATAATGTTGACGTTTCACGTCTATGCTAGGGGGCGCTATAGAGTTCACTTTTATTAAATTTCATATTTCATCACATTCAGGCCTGGATCATGCAATTGTATTTTGAATTTGAGCTCTCTAGGACAATGCCTGTGGCCGTGACAGGTCACCGAAAAAACAGGAAATGAAGGCGTTATTCGCCGGCGTGCTACGGGCGAACCGTAAGGAGTATCCCAAAAACATGGAAGATTTGAGTGAAGCTATGTCTGTAGATGTGACATGTCAAATCTGAGCTCATTTGGACCAAACCCCGAGGACTTGAATCTTTTTGTAGACCCCCAAGTCAAAACGGCGCCGAATGTTTGATCCAATATCCTGTTCGTCATAGGGTCATGCTTCAATTCATCTTTTGTCTTGTCTCATTGTTCTCTATCACTGTCCCGAATTTCGTTTCCCTGCGACAAACTTTGCCTGTCCCCACTCCCATAGGGGTCCAATTCTAGGTGGCGCTGTTGAGTCGGGTCACTCGGGTCATTGTTGCGATGCCCATTTTATCGAATTTTTCGCCGGGCCGATCGATCCGGTTTGGGGACTTTTCGTCCATGTTCAGGGGGTCAAAAATGCGATCGTTTGGTCGGAAAAGGAATAAAAAAAAGAAACCGACGAAGAACAATACCCCTCACCCGAGGGCCAAAAATGTTGAAATCATCAAAACTGTGAATGTAACTAATGAATTTTTGTGAAACATATTATTTAAAAAATCGATTCATATCCATTTAGAATCGATTTGAAGATTGTGCAAAGAAGTATCTCGATATATCACTGAATTTTTTTCTTACACCCCCTACTGTTTAATTAGCTCGGCTGACGGCACCTATTGCCTCCGCTCAGTTTCATTTCTCTCCAGCGACTAGGTCAGGAATCAGAATACACTAGACAGTTTGCAAGAAACCCAGAAGTGCAAGTTCGGGCATCAGCAAATCAGCAAACGGCCGTAGATTTAGTGTTGTTCCTGAGATCGACAATTTAAAGCCAGAACAAAGAGAATGTTTGGTGAATTTTATCAAGGTGAAAGATGTTATTGTCCTTCTTCCTAAGGGATTTGGAAAAAGCTTAATATACCAGTTAGCCCCGTTAGTGGTGCATTACATACTTCACGACCAAATAGCAGCGATTGGTTAAATGATAAAAAGTACCCGCCTACTGTCGAGTGAACAAATTGCGAACACTGCGAGGTTGAATCAGGCTAATGTTTAATGTCATACTGTGGAACATTCCAGGCAGAGCAGTCTCATGTCCATAGAAACAAGCAGATGACAGACCCCCAACCAAAAAGTTACACAATGCACCTTTAAACAATATATAAGAAAATGCAATCATTATTTGTTGTGTAAATAATTGGAGTATAATTCAAAGTTCCCACTCTTTTTCACTGACAGAATTTCAAAACATTTCCATGACTTATTCCTGACCCAAAGTGAAATCTCCATGACTTTACAGCATTGTTTCCCAAAGACTTGCGATCCTCAGGTGAGTCGCAAGAGATTGTTTTTGGGGTTCGCCTTGTCACGATCTGCAATATACAGTTGTGACGCATGAGAGAGCGAGTGAATATCCAGTAAATTGGGATTTTCTGTGCTCACAAAAATGAAGTCAAAGCGCAGAAACAGACTGACTGCTGCGTCTGATCTGCTGCTGCGCTCCCCTCCTGCACCCGGACTGAAATGAGCTACAAAAACGCAACTGTCTCATTAAAAATATTGAAATGTTTAGACATGTTTTGTATCATTTCCAGTGTTTTTGTAATTATTTTTTGAGTATTTTGTTCCAGTATTGCTGCTTCAATTGAATGTTGAAAAGAAAAGAAAATCAGGCCCAAATAGACGACTTATGGATCCTTTTTTTGCTGC